GACAAAATACCGTCGACAGGATGGATTTTACCTGAACATGACGTAATCAATCCAAACAATCCACGAAAACTTCGCCCTGTTTTCAATGCCAAATCTAAATTCAAAAGAGTTTGCCTAAAAGACATGCTTCCCACTGGACCTTGCTTGCTCTGCAAACCACTAAGATTAGTTACTCGATTTGCATCCCATCACGTTGAAATTGAATGGGTGTACGTTCAGGTTTCTGTTATCTCTGAAGAGAGAAAATTTCTTCGTTTCCTTTGGGGAGACTCCTTCGGAGCCACCGACGACATCGACACCGCAGTGAAAAATAAAGAAGATCTTCGACACGTACTACAACATGGAAGGTTCAACCTGAAGAAGTGGATAAATGCGGATCATAGAACTTTGCAAACAGTATCAGAAGAACATAAATCCATCACCGCAGACGAAAACAAGGACCCCAAACTCTTCAAACCAATTCTCGCAAAACGATGAAGAGTAAGTAACGATACACTCAACTTCAGCACTGACAAACTACACAAACTCGCCCAGAAGAAACCGATACAACAAAACCTACTTCGCGCAGCCTCTTCAATCTCTGACCCAATTGGAGTAGCAGCACCAGAAGTGGGAAGATCAAATTACATGAGGCTTGACACCTGAAATTGTTGAGCATCTCGACGAGAGAAATGATCTACAGACAGTGGAAATACCTCGACACTTTTTTGGAAACAGCTATGAAAACATTGCTCTTCATGTTTTTTCAGATGCCTCCTACAGTTGCCTAGCAGCAGTTGTTTATTTTGTGTACAGTAACAGTGCCACTCGGCAAGTCAGCAGCGCATTTGTTCCCGTAAAAGTTCGAGCGGTTCCCCTAAAACAGCAAGCCATAACCAAAATCGAAAAACAAGCCGCAGTTTTTGGTACTCGCCTCGCAAAATTCAATTGAAAAGAACAGAGGATTGATATGAGCTCTACACACATGTGGAAAGACAGCACAACAGCGCTTCAACGGATACAGTGTTCTCCTAAACGACAACAATTTTTCCGGGCTCAGAGAGCTGCAGAAATTTTGGAAAGCACCCAAACGAGTCGAAGGAAACTTTGCACACGGCCCCTAAACCCAGCAGACGACGGAACCCTATTGGATTTCAGTAACAAATGAAGATGGTTAACCGGACCCGGACCACAATTTATATGTGAACCAGAATGCAACTGGCCAAAGCAATAATTTAACGACGCCAATACAGATACTTTGCTACTCAACGATCGAATGGGAAACATGGATTGAATAGAAACAACCCCAGTGCTAGCTTTTCAAGCTCCCACCGAAAAGGCTGTACGAAGTTGCATCGACTACAGCAGATTCTACAAAAGGACAAGAACTCTTCTAACAACAGCATACGTGATGAGTGCCGCCAGGATTTTCAAAGGTAAATAACTACACTCCCGCAACGAAAACTCGACCACCGCACAAATGCCGCACAAAATTTCATCTTCATGCAGACACAACGAGATATTTTCAACCAAGACATCAAGGCGTTGACACGAAATAAACCAATCAACACAACTTGAAGACTTCGACATCTGTCACCATTTCTAGACAAAGACGGATTTTTGCGAGCACGTGGACGCCTCGAGAAATCTCAAACGGACAATTGCATAAAACACCCAAAAATGTTTGATGGAAACCACCCAGTAGTTCACCTTTATATAAGACAAAACCACAAAGAAAACCAGCATTCGCTACGCCAGCACACGAGAAAAATTATACAAAACGAATATTGGATTATCTGTGTTTGCGCACAGATTGACAGGATCATAAAAAAGTGTTACGACTGCCGATGAAAATAAACAACTGCACTATAGTCGGAATTTGCGCCCCTACTTGCCTTCAGATTTCCGGAAGATAAACCTTTTCCGTTTCAACAACCAGGATTAGATATAATTAATTGCAGGAACCTTCAACAAACGCTTCGGCATTATAATGACTTGCCTAACATTACGAGCCGCGCATCTTGAGATGTGCCTGGACTAATCAGCCGACACATTCATCAATATCTTAAGATGATTCTTCGCACGCAGAGGAAAACCAGCCAAATTGCTTCTGACAACAGTACAATTTTCACCGCAACCGAAAAAGAACTCCACGGACACTTCGACGCCGATGTTGCACGACAATTCTTACCATCACATTGAATTGACCGTCAACCCTGCCTATGCTTCTCATTGTACAGGAAAGACCCATAAGATCAGTAAGAGACTCGTTCTATGCCATCGTAGAAAGCCATACTCTAATAGACGACACATTCAACACTTTTTTTGCGAAAATGAACACTTCGTGAACCGAAGACCCATCACTACAATTATATCATCGCCTGATGATGTTGAACTCCTCACTTCGAATCATTTTCCTCTCGGGAGAGCGCATGCCAGCATGCCACCTCTACAAATCCAACAGTCCTCAACACTCAGTCGACAATAGAAATTTGCCCAACAACTCGCAATGCATATTTGGAAACGCCTGATCAAGGAGTTAATCTCATTACTACTGCCACAAGAACGGTGGAAAAACAAGACGCCGCCTATCAAAATGGGACAAAATAGGAGGACTTTGGCCAATTGGGCGGATCACAGGAAACAAATCGGTCGATGGTGACCAGACCCGCGCTTACACTGTCCAAACAAGAGAAAAGTTTGTGTCAATACCAGCCATAAGGCTAGCGCCTGTTAGTCCAGACTATTGAATCAGCAAACGAAGACTCACGACAAGGAGAGCCTCGTCCTAAACCAGTCTTGCCACCGACAGCCATAGCCGATAGCTCTTACACGACAGTTAAGCCAACGTTTTAAATTTTTTTTAAAGGAACCATTTCATTACTTTTTTCTTTATTTGTTTTGCAACTGCGAAATAAGGCCGACTGTTATATACCAATTTGACAATTGACAACCATCTTAGATGACTTCAACTTTCATATGCAATCAGGAAAACTCCGGGGGAAGAAATTGAAAACCAGAACACAGCAAATACAAAAACGAGAAAAAAGCAAAACTGAATTACCAAACACGCGCAACCAACTAATTTATAATCAAAGCAACGTTAAAAGCAAGAAAGAGCTTAAATACACCGTGTAAACTAGAAACGATCACATGTTCGTTTACATAGATGTAAACATTAGGAAGCCGTGTTATTGCGCAATGCGTTTGCAATTGCCTGTTAATTGTGCATGCGAAAAAAAAAATTACCAAAGTTATAATGTTGTAGACTAAAATAGGGCTGACAGCCAAAATTCGAAACAATGTTACACTTTTGTAGGACACTCTTTATGCTCTCGTGTGGAATGAAATAAAATAAGGGGAAGAGGTCAGAATGATTGGAAAAAAAAAACAATTTTATTGCAACCAGGCAGAGATACGGTTTCATTCAGTTTTAGTGAGTTGAATTAATATTGTGGTATTATTGCTTTTAAGGGAAAACGTAACACCGAAAAATTGGTTGCCCAAACTTTTTTCAAATGGGGAATTTTTCCGGTTTAATTCATTATTTTCTGCTTTTACCGTGTGTTTCAGTGACTAGTTACAAAGTTATGATCTAAATTGAAGCTAGTGATCTACAAAACGACTTTTGTTAAGGTTTTTTGTTCTCTAACGCAGTCCGTTTGGGCATCATTAATGTTTGATTTTGAAAATTCCTTGAAAAAAGAAATTGTGCAAGCGACGTCAGCTTAAGTTTTTAGCTATTATATAAGGAAGCTCACTTGTTTGTACTCTTTTCTTTTTTCCGAGACTAAATAAATCATCAACTGTCATGCCGAGTGAAACTAAACAAAACGCAACTGCTCAATTTACTTGAGTTGAGGTAATTTTTTAAGATCATTTATCCACGAGGGATAGGACCAACATACGAGCTGTACAGCCCATCACGGCGAACCGCTGTTGTGCCCCTGCTTAAGAACTACATGATATTTTTTTGGTTATTTTTCTGGGCTGGGTAATTTTGCCTCACCCTAAAGCTACGAGCACGGATCATGGTGGGCCTCGTACATCCGACCTTTCGATTGAAAGGCGGATACGTAACCACTTAACCACTGCCCCCCTAATCTTTTGATTATTTGGATTTGTTTAGAGTATCAAAGAAGCCGCAATCGAATCAGTTCGAGAGGGTAAATTGGTTGTATTTCCTGCGCCATCGAAAGACCTGAAAGATCTTTTCCCAACAATCGACAACGTGCTGAGTCACCATGAAGTTGTTAGTGAAATAAAGAAGAAAGGTTACAAGGGACTGTTGGTTAGAGGTTATCATTCTGAGGGAGTGACTCATGGATGCGTTTTCATGCCTTCAAACGAGGACAACAAAATATTCATCATCAGGAACGTGAACAACTTGAAAAAGCAGTCTGAAATTGTGGTTTCCTTGCGTGATCAGATATTTCACATGCGGACCAAATTTCAGGAACATCAATTAAGTTATGTCAAAATTGAGGTTTTTGTTTGGAATCCGAAAAAAAATTTGAATTTAGACAGCCTGGAAAGAAACGTACAGAAGGATGTTGAAGATGTTAAAATTTCCTCCGGGAGAACTTTTCAGCTACCACTTCCAGGAAAATGCGGTAAAGGTATTTTTTTATACTTTTCGAATTTCAAGCAAATATATAATCATTCAAACTTAAAAACAACAATTTTGGCTGTACCCTGAAGGTGTCAAAACAGTTTTGATATGAATAACCAGAAATTGGTAACTTTTGTTACTCTTTGCGTTAAATGTTTCGAGTTTTATATGTTTTAATCATAATGTAAGCTTAGAGCAAAACTATGCATTAATTTTTCTTAATCTTTTCAGACTCTGGAAAAAGTCTATTAAAAATAAAAAAAAAAAGTTTTGAACCTGAAGCCTGATAAAAATGGACTATGGGTTTATTGAGAAGGTTTTATAGGAATTGGGTTCGAAATTAGCTTAGCTTTTGTTTGAGAGTTGACATGTTTCAGTAGGAAATAAAGTCAACACAATCGAACTGATTTTGGAGTCTGATATGTACGAAAAACAGCTAGAGCCGTTTTGCTACACCATTGGAAAACATCGCATGAAAACTCCCAGAGGAGAATTTACTCTTGATAAAAACAACGTCATAAAAATGAGGGAAGCAAATGAATGTAACTTTCCATCTGTCACGAAACACCTGTATCACGTTCCTCCAATTGACTCATCCTTCGACAACTGCTTGTATACCACGACAACAGATGGAGATAATGGCGACATAGCTCTAACCGGGGCATTTAAGGGAGAGATTATAGAGTTTCGAAGCAAAGTTGTAGCTAAACTAGCATCTCCGTCCGGTCTGCTTATTCGAGATTTTAGACACAATCACGTAAACTGTTTACTCGACGAAGCTTCTTTCAAGTCAACACAATTTCAAATAGATTATTTGCATTTGGGAGCTGAAAAAATGACTTTTATTGAAGTAGGTCTGAGCAAAGATCGAAAAAGACCGAACTCCACGATAAAGAACAAACTGTTGACACAGTGTCTGCAAAAAACGATCCCACAGGCGCTCATGTTACTTTATTCGTTCTATATAAACCAAACACCCGATCAAAAATTCAACAAAGAAGAATTTTTGAAACTTATTGATACCCACTTGAAAGTGTTGCTTGTTATTCCAAATGTATCATTGAATCAATTTCGTGAATATCTCGGACTTCCAAATGAAAATGCGACAACTTTTCATGAGCAGTTACTGGAAAACAAAAACTATTTGAAGTACTTGCTGATTTGTTTGAGCGACAATTTGCCATCAGCTGGTAGGTGTCTTCTTACACTTGATGATCAATTGGGCATTCAGGATTCAAATACTACTATCGATGACATTTTCAAGTTTTCGGATCACAAAAAAGCCAACTATTTCACATCCCTTTTATCCCTTGTTGCATTGAACGTTTTTGATGATGTGGACGAAGAAAAATCGCTTGACGTTGATGAACGATACCACCCAGATTTGTCACACTGGTTGAAATCTCGCCCGAAACATCCGCAACACTACGCAAATTTCAACATTTGCCTCAGTCCACAACAATACACTTTACTGTAAGTTTTTCAAAAAACTCAGAAAAGTCGTGTTCCCAAACCACCTGATGGCCCTAATCTTAGAAACAGCAACTTGCTTAAATTACTTCAGGATTGATTTGAAATGATTTTGAACTGATTTCAAATCGATTTTAAATCGACCCAATTGATGAAAATGTACATCTAAGGAACTATTTAAATGGATCTTTCTCGAAATTTTTGGCTCAAATTAAGTGTCTAAAAATCGGTTCAAATCGACATGGATGGATTAATCGACTCATTGAAATTCGTTAAAATCTCCCTTCAACTCATCTAAATCTTACTAAAATAAATTTAAATCTATTTTAAAAGACCCATGAGCAGATCGAATTAAATTTCTACAACGTCCACTTCAATTCGAATTAAATCGACTTTTTTTCTAACACGTTGAAAAAAACAAGTATTTCAAAAATATAATAGAAATATTTCATCTTCGATTTAAAAAAAAACAAAATTGCTAGCTGCTGTAGAGTTCAAGTGAATGGTCAAAAAATTCAAATTTTGATCTCAAAAATATGCTATGAACTCATAAAAGCTCATCATGGTAAATCAGATCTTGGACAAAAACCTATGTAACAATATAAGAAAATAGTCAAAATGAACAACTTTTCAGCTCAAAAATGTGCTAGAAAATTATAGAAGCACATCATTGTAGGTCAGATATTGGGCAAAAATTCATGTAACAAATCAGAAAAAATATCAATATATATCACATTTTGAGCTCAAAATTAGTAAGCAAAACATAAATATTTATCAAAAAAATTAAAACTATTTAGTATTTATTATGATGAAACCTGTACTGACGAGAAATGGATTGCAATCGATTTTTTACAGATAATGTGGCGGAGACCTTAGAAAAAATCGTTGTGATTAGAGATACTAATTCTTTAGTTTTAAAAAAAATGTTGCTTAAAATTAGATTCAACCAAATCTAAATCAGTATAAATTATTTTTGCCAACGTTTTTTTTTAAATTTTAGTTATATCCAGATTTTCATGACTATCAAACAACAGAGAAACCATTAGAAAAAATAAGATATGCATTCTCAATTGACTCTTTGTTTTGATGTTTGGCCTGAAGTTAAACTATGGGGATAACGATTATATATAGGTTTATATCTCTTTTTTATAACAATTCATTTTTTCTTATTTGATACAGTTTATTCATATAGTAATTTTCCTAGCGGTAAAAACGTTTGCGGTAAACAACTTTCTTGTTGTGAATCTTGCTCTCTGTAGCTCTATTTGAGAATATAAAGTTTGCGCAAGTTTCGATACAAAACACAGCTAATTAGTTAAAACAGTTTTCTTGAGATTTTGCTGATTTTCGCTTCCTTGCAAAAAACACATTTAATTCGATTTATATCCATTTTATCGCAATCAAACAGTTTTTTCTTCCTTAAAATCCATTTAATGCACTCGATATCAATTTACGGATCTAAATTGGATATCTTAAGTTGATTTCGTTGCTGTATCATTCTGTATAAAAGTCGATTTGAATCGATTTCAATCTCACGCTTTTCAGTGCGGGAATGTTTCGAAAATTATCAAATTCGAATGAAAAAATTGTCTTAAACTAGTTTAATTCCGTTTTAATCATCTTAAAAACAAAAACCGTTTAATACCAAAAACTTTGGAATTTAATTGATTTTAAACCAATTTGGAGGCATTTTTTCAATCAATCTTAATCTTTTCCATTTAATCTTCGTTCTTTTTTGTAGATTAAAGTAGATCTTAATTAAGTCTTGATACTTTCCAATTCTAAAAATGTTATCATTCTAAATTATCTGACAAAAACTGAGAATTTTGAACTTTTTATCTAAGGGATTTTAAGCCAGTTTTTTGATAAAAATTGGCGATACCTAAGCTTTTCCAAGGAGTACGGTAATTTTTATCCGCGCTGCTATCAAAAAGATAGAAGTAAAGCGGCGGCGAAGTGGTTACATTTCCGCCTCTTAATCGAAATGAAGGATATTGGAAGCCCACTAAGATCCGCCCACCACAAAGCGAAGAACGGTGGTGAATTGGTGGAGTATCCGCTTCTGAATCGAATGCCCTCCCGCATCTAAATAAACTGAAAACAAAACAATGGATTGTTGTGTTCTAACAAGGTAACACTAAAATCGACTCCCATGTTGTCCTCAGACAACAAAATAGAACTAAAAATCGGTTGAAAATCATTGTCTTATCAAAATTGAAACTCATTGTTTTTCAATTAAAATGATTAAAATTGGATTTTTTTCGTTTTTTCTTTCGCAATTAAAAGTATTGCTAAAATTCTGCTTTTTCAAATGAATAATGCAGAAAGAATGCAAAACGAGTGCACGGTCTACTCGGTTCCTAAACTTAAGTTTTTTTCAAAATGCAATATGATTCCATTCCCACAATGTTTGCTCCTGTAACCCTCTTATTCCCCCACGTTTGACATTTTGTCCCTTACTCCCGCCACCTATTCCCTAACTAGAAACACTTCCCACACCCGCAACAAAAATAAGTAACATAAAAGAGTAACAAAACTCAAAGTTGAGCAGAAAAAGGTATAAAATGAACAACATGCAACGAAAAATAGTTTATAACGTGCAAATGTCTAAATAAAAGAAGAAAAAAGTCAATTAGAAAAGTGTTTCGCTGTCTTTATCTATAGATTGGAAAATAATTGATTAGAACTGATTTGCAGTGATTTTTTTTCCATTAGCAAAGATTAGCCGATCTTGAAATGAGTTGATATTTTTTTGGATGTGAACCATTTTTTATTGTCGACTATTTAGAAGCAAAAAGTTTTTTTTCCAAAAGACATCATCAAAATTTGTCCTAATTCAATCTCTTAACCGTCATGTTTGTGTCTATTGGTAAAATTTTTCCGATACAACTCAAATCAAAGTCACCCACCAAATCTAAAATTTGAGCTATTTGAAAGAATTCAAGGGATTACATTGAATTGATGATTTTTTTCAAAATGGCCCTGGAAAAAATTAAAAATAACAAAATGTTTGTTATGAAATAGGCACCCGCACTGACAAAAAATGGATTGCAATCGACTTTATACAGATGATATACCAGACCTAAAACAACTGTTTGCATCAATTCAGAATCAGTTTAGTTTTATACAGAAAGAAAACTGTTAAACGAATTCTAAATTTATTTCAATCCATCATAACAAATTTTTTAATTCTAAATATTTTTAAATTTTAAATATTTATTATTCTATCATATTTTTGTCAATTTTACTGTGCACTCATTCATACAAATTTTACACAGATTATTTAAAGATTTATTTGGTTACTAACGTAAAGTAAATGTTTTAAAAACATTTAAAATTATGTTTTTCATTTCACTTTCGTGTTGAAGTTTGGCCTAAAACGAAACTCTGAGAAAATCTCATCTGTAAATTATTCGCCAAAATTGAATAGTTCTTAATTGAATTTTTTGGTTTTATGTCTTTGCTTAACAGAATGGAGACTAGAACATTGATTAAAAAATGACAGTTGGTTAAAATGAATTCCCTTCATCAAAAATTTTGCAGTAGAAACTTTAAGCGGGTGACTTCTGCCCTTTGAAGCTCCAATCGTAATTTTTCATGAGCTCAAAGTTTTGCACAAAAAGTATGTTTCGGGGAATGTCGAAGCAAAATTAATAGTTACTTTAAATCAAGTTTGTTAAATTTCAATGGATTTCACTGCCTTGCAAAAATCCATGTAAATTGATTTAATTCGATTGTTTGATAAAATAACTGATTTTTTACTGATTTGTTCTTCCGTAATAATCCAATTAATCCTTTCTTAGTCATTTCTTAGTCATTTTTAAATGGACTTTCGTAATTTGATTTTCACACAGTATTTCTAATTCTATTTCAATCTCAAGTTTGTCAGTGAGGGCAATTCATATCAATTTGGAGTGCATTCAAGTATGTTCGTCTGCCCTTTGCACTTGCGTTTTAGCATTCAGTTTCTGGAAAAAAATATATGTTTTTATTTCTGTAATGTGTTGATGAAGGTCTGTAATTTGATTTTGCAAATCAAAATTGCGATTGGAAAAAACATGTTTTTTTTACATGTCAAACTGAAAATTAAATGAAAAAATAAAATTATCCGTAAGTTCACTTGGTCGGCTTCAATTTAGTCTAGATGAATTAAATTTAGGAAAAAGAAACAGCCCAGTTTGCTAGAATTTGGGTTCATTTAGCTTTTTCTGCTGAAAATTGGAGATTCATGAGATCATTTAATTTTTGCTGCAAGAGAATTCTTTTTTACTGATTTCAATTTTTCCCGATCAACCACCGGCACAAAAACCTAACTGAACGTCTGCATTATACCTTTAATTCAAAATACTCATTATAACTGATGGATAAGTATGATGAGTATATATTTTTCTGTATGTGTATACAATATCTAGATAATCTGTGTATAGTTTGTGTATAATCTGCTTTTAATCAGTAAATAATTTGTTGATAATCTGTATACACAAGGTAGATAACCAATTTTAATGTATGCCGTTTACATTTTTATACTGTATCTTCATTATACAATCATTATCAAAAAACAGTTTTCACAGTGTTTTTTTAAAATCATTTATATTATGTTTTCATAGACAACTTTCACGAAAATGAAAAAAAAAAGATACAGTATAAAACTTTTTTTTAAAATGGGTTATGTTCATTTAATAAATGAAGATAAACAATTTTTAATTCAGAAAATGAAAACAGATATGAAAGTTGTAATTGCTTTTGGTGGATAGTCGATGTTGATTTGTTTGTGAAACTGCGGGAGTTCATTTTAGTGAAAATACTCCGAATTATTTTCACTAAAATGAACTCCCGCAGTTTCACAAACAAATCAACATCGACTATCCACCAAAAGCAATTACAGCTTGGATTTTTAAAAAACTCAAGATATATACTCTACTTGGGCACTATCCACAGAATTCTACCGTGAGAACAATATTGAGCAAACGCAAAAAGAGCTGAAACAGCGGACCTACAGCAATAATTTTCAAAAAAAATAACAGTCTGATGTTTTACAATCAAAAGCTTGTGTTTGTTTCTTAAAATTCTCAAAAATAAACTTTATCAATTTGAATGAACTTGAAGGTGGAACCCAGTGGCAACCCAGTTGTTTACTTTTCGTGGAGTTCAAAAACAAGCAACAAAAAAGTCATCTGCATATTTCAGAGCCTGATGTTCATTTAATTAGGCACTTAATTCAAAAGAATATCTGATGTCGAATCAGTTTTAAAAATTTTATTATTGATATCTCAAGTTTTCAAGAAAACGGACAATTTTAAAGGACAATGGACAATTTCAAATGAGGTCTTTTTGATAAAAAAAATCACCCGTACATTTCATAGAATATTGCTGGCCACGATTTTTGTTTGTCTTATCTCTAGGCAGGATGGAAAAAACAGTCATTTATTACTGTCCGGAGAGCCGGGAACAGGCAAGTCTCAATTGCTTCTAATCAAAGCTATCCTTATGGCCCACCGAGAAGATGTGGACAATGTTGTGTTTCTGTTTGATGAGAGCAAAAAAGATTTCCGGAAGTGGCTCACCTCAAGCATTGACAATTATCCTGATTTGAAACGAAAACATAAAATACATGGACTTGGCAGACAAGCGAGGTACGTATTTTTGATTTATGAAGAAATTTTTTTTTGCCACCTATCAAAACGTTAGATGCAAAAATTTGCTTATTTTTTGTTGAAAAAAATTTATGGCCAACCGTCTGCACCTGAATGAGTTTTTGAAAAAAGGAATGAGTTGAGATCCAATGTAATCTTCAAATTATTGCACTAGGACCAGTTCAATCATTTTTTTTATTACCCGCACCGGTGTTCCACGGATGAAAATCACTTATATAGTTTTTTACTTATCCTATATAAAAGATCAAAAATGGATTATAAACTTCTTTTTTGTCAAATCAAAAAAATGTTTTTAGTGGGCTAATATCGGTTATTTTGGATTATGAAAACTTATCTGTCTATAATTTTCAAATAAACCATAGTGTTTTATTTATTTGAGAGTTGCATTAGTCTTAACACAAAAAGTTTTTAGAAAATTAAAAAAATGAGCCTTACTGTGGTTGAGAAAATGGTGAACTGTTTTTATTTTCAACCTTTTCCTTCAACATTTTTTTTGCTTAATCTTATTTTAGGTTTTTAAAATAACCTTTGTTACTTTACACCCTCCTTTATCCACTTTACATCCCTCCGTGTCTTATGTTCAGCTTCATTTTAGAACAACTTTTGCGGAAGGGGGGTTGGTTATTGAAGGTAATGCCAAAGCATTTTGATTGCAACTCTGCCTGGTGTGGGCAGCGTTGCAAGATTGTGAGTGCGTGGGGGAGTTGTTTCAGCTTTTACTGAGAATGTTATGAAAAAAGCAAAGCTTAAATCATTATAAACACATGAAGCAAAGTTTTTTTTTCTCAGGGCAGACGAAAAATTTATTCAAAATCATCAACCCTGCACGAGAAAAATGACATTAACTGCTTAATAAAAAAAACCATTTTTTAATGAACCAAAATGAGGACTACGGTCATTTTTTGTTACAAGTTTTTCTCTTAGAAAATAATAGTTGTGTCTCAAGTCGTTGTTTAGTTTATTTTAAAATCCTCTTGCGGTTGTTTATGAGAGTTTTTTTTCACATGATGCTGCTGCAAAATTTGGAAGCAGGTTTCTCCTGGTTTTTCAAAAAAAAAATTACACTATAGGTTATACAATGTATTGGAATTAAACATAAGCAAAAAGAAATAAAGAAAAAGTATATCTAGCTTACATATCCCGGGCTGACCAAAATGTGCAACCATACGTCGCACCACGCATGGTTCCAGTCGCATCATTTTTGTCAAATAAGCTCTATTTTTACGGTTTTCTAGAGAAAAAAAATGGTGAAAAATCTCTTCCATACGTAGCACCATATATGTTGCAACGTATGATTTGCATGGTGAAAATTTTTGATATTTTACCAACAGCTTGCATAATGATGAGAAACCGTTTTATTACTAATTTACTCTGTTAGAAAGCTATTTTGAGGGTTTTCGAAACCAACGTATGCGCTACGTATGATTAGTCATTTTCCAGACAAATCATGAATGGATGTGCATGGCTGCGCACTATCTTCTATGGTGGGCAACACTGGATACAGAGAGTGCAGAGAGTACTAAATTCTAAAAAAGCGTCAAGCGGGTTGAGCATCTTGCAGAAATCCACCCTCTCTGTTTGATATTTTTTATCCTTTTTTAAAAGTTCCCCTTTTTACAACTTTCCCTATAAAATTGAGTTTTTGAAAAAATAATATCAATGAAAGCATTTTAAGTGTGATATCGTGCTGTAATTACGGATAAAATTCAATTTCGAAAAAAAACTGCAAGCTAATTTTTGCTATTAAAAATTCAGAATGAGCCCATAATAAGAACTTCAATCAAAAAACTTCCTGACACAAATTTTGAATTTTTGAATATGAATTTTAATTTTAAAAAAGGAAAGTCTCTTCAGACCGCATGCAGTTTTTATCACTACCCCAACCAAATTACAGGATTTCATCATTATACACAAGATGCGTTTCGATTATAATTTTACACAGGAAGCATTTTGATTTGTTTTCACGTACAATCTCCTTTCCACAAGAAGCGTTTTGATTCTCGTGAATGATCTCCTGACAAACAAGATGGAATAATTAAAATCTTGGCCAAAAAAACGGATTTTCTAAAGTTTTTTTCAGAACTTTTGGTTGCATTTTTTTTTGCTTATAACCTGCGTTTAAGAAGTTTTTTAAATTTTTTGCAGAGTTATCAGACACTTATAAATTGCTATTTTCAAAAAAGTGAACTTGTGTGAGGAAAATTTGTTGTCAACTCGGTGATTTATTCTTCTTCTTTTTCCTATATGGTCCAACTCTACTTGCAACTTTTCCGTTAAGTTTCTGAAGCATAATATTTTGCTTCAAAAACAATTGGTAATTGCCGATGATTTTTACCCAAAAAAGATAATGTCAGCTCAAACCACTCAAAACTTCCTATCAGCAAATTGAATCACAAGTGTCTGATAACTCTACGACAAGAATTTTTTTGCAGCTTGAATTTGTTTGATAGCTTTTTTACATTAGCTGAAATGTGCGACTAATAATTTCTACTATAAAACAGTTTGTATTCTTCGACAGCTGAGAACTTATATCAGAACAAAATTTTCAAAGTGCTCTTTGTACATCACGAATTTAAACATTGTTAAAAACAATTCCTGACTTTTCGCACAGCGATTACTGTTATGTTTTCTAAAACTAAGACTTGCAAGTAGAGTTGGCCCAGAAATAAAGAAGAACAAATCACCGGATTGCCCATAAAGGCTCGTCATACAATTTTACGTTTGGGAATTAGGACTTCATAAGGGTCTGATATCTCTACGACTATAATCTTTTCGCAGTGTGAACTTGTGTAAATAACAATTTTTTCCCAGTATGAAGTTGTGTGACTAGAATTATTCCGTTGTTTTAAATTGGTGACTGAAATTTTCTAAAAAATAGTTTGTACTCTGCGACAACTGACAACTTTATAATAAAACTTCTTGAAAATTTGGAAAATAGCTACTTCTGGGCAGTTTTCAAACAAAATTCGTTTGAGCTAGAAAAAAGCTTAACTTAAGTATTTTAAAAGTAACCGCATATTTATTTTGAAAAAGGTTTAGCAAAGGGCTGAATCCTTCTTTCAGACTAATCATAAGACCGAAAACAGTTTTTAGGCAACAACAATTTATAACAACTAAAATATAGGGTAGTTTTTTGCAATGCACTTCCCCAGGTTAACAAAAAACGCTCAGACTACAGAATCTTTGGTCTCAATTCATTTAATTAAACCTAGATTTTTTTTCAAAATTTTATTTTCTGCAGATTTGTGCACTTATAATTAATTTATAGCTTTTTATTATATCGTATATGTTCTGCTGACTTTATTTTTTGAAATATATTGACCCGTGTTTTAAATCTACAAGAGCTGCACAAATTATTGTATTTATATGTCCTTGTAACTTGAGTTCTACAAGCCCGATGTTGAAGCGAAACTTTAAAAACGGATTATTTCACCAGATAACGCACGGCTTTTATCTGTCCTCGAACACTTTACACAAGCTTATTCGTAAATAACCTGGGAGCGTTTTGATTTTTTTGATAGACATCTGAACAAACAAGATCATTTAGGCATATTACTGAGGATTTTCCAGAGAAAGTTTTGGTTGCAATTTTTGTGTAATGTTCCGCGTAGAAAAAGCTTTCATTAAAAGTTCGCAGCTTTCAATGGTTTGGTTTTCTCAAAGGAAGGTTTGAAAGGTTTGAGCTGACATTATCTTTTTTGGTTTGCAACCATCGTCGTGTACCAACTGTTTTTCGAACAAATACTCATCTATCTATTGAAACCTACAAATTCATTCAATTTGTTTATTGTTCTAGAAGCTCTAAAAGTGAATTATCACCCTGCTTCTTCTGTTCTTGTTTTACTCGGTTTTAAAATCTGGGACTTTTTTCCCAATGCTTCATTTCCAGCTGGTAAACTTTGATTCGATTCAGTTTCAATACTCATTTTAACAGCCAAAAGAATGCCCTCTAGCTGAAGATACCTTATGAGTGGCAAAAAAATTCAGCATTTTAAGTTAACTGAGGTAAGTGGTATCTTTTGTCCGATTTATCCACCGGAAAGCTCTTTTTAAAAGTTTTTCTAGACTCGACATGTCAGATCTTGATAAAACAGCACAGGGAAACCCATATGCAAGAACCGGTATGAGCAAAGATTTGTACAGGCCCAAATTACACGATGTCTTCAATTTTTAGGAAACTTTTCGTTTCAAATATAAAACACTATTAGCTTTATTCAATCTCGTGTCCATGTGTGGTCAGGTTTTGGTTTTGTGTTGAAGCACCCCTAGGTCCTCTAAAACATTAAGAGCAACTGATTTGAGACCATTGTTTGTTTCTTTTGTTGTGGAAAAAAACTCTGGAAAATTCTGTTTTCGAATTTTTTCTGAACTATTCACCTCTTTTTTTAATGAAAAAATTCATGAATTTTTGTTTCATTTTGTTTCCCGAAACTTTCCGGGAAACATTGAAAAATTTCTTTTAGTTTTTTTAATGTTTTTTCAGAATTTTTTTTTGAAACAATTCCATCAAAATATTTCGACAAATTTTTTCTCTGCAACTTTTCTTACACTCGATTTCCCATTTCCTTTTTCAACAAACATAATGTTTTTCTAAAAATAAATTACAAAAAAATTTTTTAGTCAAGATTTTTTGATTGAGAGAAGTATAACCTTTTTTCTAGCTAGGGCAAACTAGAGGCTTATCTAACCAAAAAAAACTGAGTTTGTTCATTTTCATCGTTCAGATTGAAAAAAGGAGGTTTTAAGAAAAATTTTTAACATATTTAAGAAAAATGTATAAAGAGAAAAAGGACTTCTTATATATCATGATACAAGTTGACAATTATAAGTTATCTCAACTAATTGAGAAAATTTGTCTCGACATTTTTCATAGGGCTCAGTTTCTCAAGCTAGACATTAATAAACCCATTTATACCTTGAGTGAGAATTTACAAAGTTCCTCAAGTATATGAGTTTATTAATTGTTTGACTTTTTAAGGTTGTTTGCAGTCAGACTGTTAATTTATTGGCCATTTAATGCACACGCATTTTTATGAAACAAAATTTACTAAGATTTACGCATTTAATTTCACTTCAATTAAATTATTCAACAACCACATGTATGATTTAGACGTTGAAACGCAAGTTTTTTTAAATTGTTTGTATTTACATTTTGGTGCTGCTATCATCTTGTATAATTAGTGATTAATTTTTTAAATGTCAAAATTTCGCTCCTGCTCTTTTCTGCATCCTGCACTCCCCCATCGTCACTGGTCTGAAAAAAAAGCTTGTGAAAAAGGTGGTTTAAAAATTTTAAAGAATTGATTGGTTGTGGAAGTATCAAAAAATGCAGTTTTATAAACCTGATAAAAACAAAATTCGGCCGGTGTTTCAGTCAGCAAACATATTTTTGATTGCTTACATGTATTTAATCTTATATCTTTAAATGCAGTTTATCTTTTTGGTAACTGCCAGTTACTTTCTGGGTTTTCTTTTGAAAGAAAATCTTTCTTTAGAGGGCTTCGGATAAGTTTTTGTATTTTTGTTTATGTCGGAAGAACTTCTCGTACAAATTCATGGTATGGAGCAAAAACATATGATACATTTTAAGGTAGAAAAAAACTTTTTGCCATTTTCCTAAAACCTTTCTGATAAAATTTTGTCAAACAGTTGTTATGCAATTCCAAAAAAAATCAAAAACTGTTTATTAAAAAATCATAGTATGGAAAGGCTTATCATGATATTTTCATACTATTTTTGGGTCTATGAAATTGTATGAAAGAGTATGATAAGAGCTACGTCTTACAGCTGATGAAATTTTAAGATAGGAGTTTTTTGTCATCCCGTTGTTTTTATATAATTCTATAGTTTCCAATGTTCTTCAATGGCTGGCATGTTTTTTGAAAAAATCCTTAAGTTTTTTCAAATCTAAGATGTTTACGTTGTGCGTAAGAACAAAAGAATTGTGCATGTGTACAAATGTTTTACTTTAAAATCAAAGCATATGAAACGCAGAAACCATTTTGTTTTTCAATAAATTAAAAGTCTCAAGATCTGCAAAGATTCCAAAACTTTAGTTTTTTTTCTGTTTTTGGCAGTTAAAACCAACTTAGAACAATTTTTTGCTATTTTTGCGCACTTCCTTTAATGCTGACTTATGTGTGAAATATCTAGTAGCTTTGGGTTCGACAGGAACTTTGTCATTGTTAGGAATGCTGGTCGTTTATCAAGGCAATTTTTTGGAAAATCTGGTCACCCTTTTGTCTGCTAAGCTCAAATTTTTGAACTGTCAAAATCAAATCGTAAATACTTAAGATTAGAGCTGTGAAGTTTTGTAACGTTGAGAGAGTTTTTTATAGGGTCAGTCAAATTGAAAAGCACAGAGAGCTTTAAAGATCATGCTTAATACTCCCGCTTGGGAAACAGAAGATATCTGGTTCGATCCGAGTGCTATACTCCTCTTCCACAAATTTCTTCCGCAATAAAATATTCATTCGTTTTAAAAGTTGGAACATTGAAATCTAAATAAATTTAAGAATTAAGCTAGACAGCTCATTTCAGTACAATGCCTTAAAAAATCCTTAACACAACCTAATTTTAGGGGTTTTCCAAATGGATAACACAAATGGATAATCATTTGAGACCTTGCTTGAAAAAAACTTTTCTTTTTTATTTGATGTATAATGTCTCCGTGCATATATTGAGGACCTGGTAGTGTAAAAATAATTAACCTGCGTGCCTTATATCGCTTTTTTGGAATGGCTTAGTTCGTCGGTGGGTTGAATGAATGCTATGTGACAATTTTAAAATATTGATCACTGGTAAATTATAGTTTTTTAGTTGAACTCATGACAACAATATTTTTCAGATAGCATGAAAACTTCCGTCAAAATAGCTTAATTGATCAGTAGAAATTGGTCCTATAAGCAAAGTTTGGAAAGTTTAGGTTGAAAATAATAACTTGAAAATTATTTAATTGACGTTTCCCTGGTTGACAAAAATGCTTATTGTACAATTCCATAGAAAGAAAATTGTACCATTGATTCTATAGAGTTATATGGCAAGCATTTTTTCATTTAACGTTTTTGTGATTCGCTTCATATTTGTGTTTCGCACTGAGCATTCAACCAAAAGTTTTCTCAAATGTGAAAAGCAACAAGATAAACGGCCTTGAATTGCAGATATAACTACGTATTGCTAGATGCCAATTCAGATGAAAATTTAAATTCACTCAAAATTATGACAAATAATGTAATTTTTGTATAAGGCTAGCAAGCCTCTGTTTCCAAACACTCATAGATCGAGAGTCTTGGCCTGTTTTTTTGGACATATTTAGGTTATTGGTTATAATTTGGATTTGAAAAGAATAAATTTTGCTTCAACCCCAGAAAAGTATACAAATCACAGAGAACTTTCAAGGTGACCCTTTGATTTTTTTGTGTAGAAAGACTGTGTTGTGCGTAGACTACGTTATAAGAATAATTTGTAAAAATTGCATGCAAAAAACATCTATTCGAAAAAATTCATTTCGTTCGTAAAACTGGTTCAACGACTAAATTGAAAACTAATAACACTTTCCTGAGATTTGTGTTATTCGGATCCTACAACTTTCATAAAAAGGACTTGAATGAAAAGCGTTTTTCCCACAGAACCCATGCATGGAACTGTTTGATAAGCATTTTTTGTATGGAACTGTATGATAAGCTTTTTTGTTGTATGGAGGTCTACCCGGTTTGCTTAATTAAGGAAGAAGGAGACAGTGTTGTGTTCTTTGTTTTTTTTGCGTAACGTGTTTTCCACCTTTTGTAGACGTAAGAAGATTTTCATTTGACCATATTCTTTTTGGCTGAAGTGCTGCTGTAAAAACTAAAGTCATTTAGATTCAGTTTTTAGCTAAAACTAGTTTGACTGACTATTTCAGCCAGTTTGAGGGATCTTTTTAACACATGTTCAGAAAGTATTGAGTATTTGCTTTAGTCATTTATAATCATAAGTAAGTCTTCCTATTCAGCAAGTATTTGATTTCACCAATTTAGGTGATAATAGAAATTCCGTACGTATAGAATCGAAAGTGTTGTTTTTTTTAGAAATTTCGTTGGGACAACAATAGAGCGAACCGTAATTTTGATTGATGAACTGTACGTGGAAGAACATTTTCGGAAGACTCTTCAAAAACAGGAAAACCTTTGCTTGTACAACAGAAGTAAGTGTTGCTGGATCTCAATTATAGATGCGGGTCAAAGGACTTTCGATCGCGTGGAAGAACTGTTGCAGAAAATGAATACGTCGAAATTCAAATTGCAGAAACTTCACGTTTTGTACAGAAGTTCTGCTCACATATCCCGGATTTCGCACTCTTTCATTGTGAGTTTATCTTATATGAATGAGACAAGCGCAAAAGAGCTTGAGTGCTTTCAATCTTCTCAAAACGCTATTGAAGTGTTCCCTTTCGAAGATATTGAAGAGGTTCTTAATTCCACTGCTGTTTTCACGAAGTTCAATTCAGACCGTATTGTGATTTTGTTCACAGAACACAAAACTAAGTACGACCCAGAAGAAATACTTAAAAAACTGAAAGAAAAACACTCCAAAAACGGCAAAACTTTCAAATCGGTGCTCGGTTTATGGAACGAAGACCAGTTTCGATTCACTGGAATCGAAGCCAAATCCGTTTTGATTGTATTAGATCTCAATGTAATATATCAAAGGTCAATTTACTTGATAAACTTAGCTGTGAACAGAGCTCAATGCGCTGTTGGAGTATTTATACAGAAAAAACTGGAAAGAAATCAAGTCTGGGTCGATTACCTTCAACACAGGAAACCTAAACACCTTGAAATATACGAGGATCTGCTAAACGGAAAACTAAGCGAAGAGAGAAACAAAGATTTGAAGCCGAGAAGGTTAAAAGAAGGCGATGTTGACCGCCTACAAGATGTATTCAAAAATCAGCTCCAAGACGAAAACGTCAAAAACTTGATCGATACCGATAGCTGGAAAGTTTGCTTTCAAAGGGTTTTCCTATTCGACAATATCAAGCTTATTAATGAATTCATCAAAAAACTGGGCGCAACAATTCCGTTCTTACCAGACCAGGAAGGTGAGTCGCTGAATAGTTTCCTGCTTAGCATGATTTGAAAAAAGCCTTTTCTCTGAACATCGTAGTTAACTTGCACATCTAACCAGTTTTTTGTTGTAAAAGTGAGTTTTTAGCAATATAGACGTGTTTTTAAACATTCTTATGGCTTAACGGGTACAAATGGAAGCGACTTGTGATAATGTAACAAAAATTTTGCAAAGAAAAGGCAGAATATTCTTGCTTGGAGTGTTTTAGTTTTCTAATGTTTATCTAAGCCCTTTTGACGGTTTTTTTATACCATCTAAAAAACATTGTTGGCTGAATTCAAATTTAAAACAATATTTTCCTATGATTGTTTTTGTTAAACTAAGGGGTCTCGAAAATTGATCATTGGTGTCAGCCGGACGGATTGGCAACCTACTATATATACATATTATATCGTTAAGCTCACTGCGTTGAGCTGTCAATTGACCTTGATTGTGGTTCTAACGAAGTGTTTAGATTATACAGCTAGATCATGAATGAAGAGTTTACGATCCAGTTATCTTATTTCGGCTCCTAGACATAATCATTAACAGTTCACCAATCCGTTCTGATTCGATATTAACATTGGGCTTACCTCAGGGTATGACATGGCGCAGCCAGCTGGATTTACAAAAAACCCACTCAAAATTAATTCTTTTTGGGGAAAAGCATCAGCGGAGCATCCACTAGAATGGAACAAGTGGGCTGTAGTTGTAGAACTGGCAGTGTTCGCAAAAAAAGAATAGAGATCCAAAATTTGATACGTGAAAAAGCTGAAGTTACACTGCCAACAGAACCAATCTTAGAAGTCGAAATACAAGGAGAAACCGATGCACAACGGAGAAACAGAGGGTAGAAACCAAGAAAAGAACGTAGATTGGGAAAATAGATGTCAAAAAGCAAGAGAAAAGGGTGTTTTGTGCAACTCAGAAATCTGGAACGAAGCGGATGCGAGAGTACGAAGCTATTTATTCCTTTGCTTAGGCATGAAAGGTCAAAGACAAGTTCAACAAAAAGGCCCTAGGGTTAAATATCCAAACTACAACAACAAAAATCACACCTTTCGAAGCACATATGGGTCGTAAAGCAAACACACCACTTTCAAATATAACAACAAATGGTTCACCTAACAATTAAAAATGGGAAAAAACCAAGCACCCATGTCTAGATGGGAAAAACCTGATTCATCCTCCAATTCCTGCTAAGAATATGCACGATCTACAGAAGTGGTCCGAGGATGAAGTCAACATCGTACACAACATACCTGAGCCCATCATTGCCAAGGATCCTGGAACAGCGGTCAATCGTCCATAAACAAGTACATGTGTGAAAACTAGAAGGCATTAGCTTTAGAAAAAGAAAAATTAAATCTAAGATATAAAGGGATACACCAACAAACTGACATTAAAAAAAGAAAATCGAACAAGTAGCAAGAAAGACAGTTAGACTGGCCACGAAATTAAAAGATCCATAAACAATTGAACTGAAAAACAAAACAATCGATGAGAGAATACTAACTTACACACCACATACAGCGTGGGTTCAAACAAAAGAGAAACAACCGCGGTAATTATCAAACAGTGGCTTTGCATTTGTGCCTAACCCTCTAATATACGGTTAATGTCGTCCCTCAACACTCAGTGATTATGTGGCATGTAAATCCGCTCGGAGAGTAAGGACCTTGTTTGCATTTTTAGAAATAGAAAACCCAAGTGCACCACGACATCCTAAAGCTGACAAGCAAGGAACAACAAACCAGTCCAACTAAACGAGAGGCAACTGGAAAAAGAACTGGGAGAAGACCGGCACCAAGAATACCAGCACGAGGAATGAAATTCCAAGAGGATACAAGACGGGAAGAAAGTGCCACATCAGTGTCATCAAACGATTCGGGATTGTCTACCTGAGAATATAGCGCCATGGCCAAAGAGAATCAACAAAAAGAAAACTACAGACAACATGAAAGAGAAACAACACCCGAAAAGAAAATCAGGCGGGGTCAGACAGTCAACACTAGCCGGAGTATTGGGAAAACCGATTCCCATCAATGCAGTAGAGGACATGGTGCAATCAAAAACAAAGAAACTTTCGATAGAGTAGCCCACAGACAAAACAACAAGCCGCCAACAAAAGTAACATCAACACCAGATCGAAAGCCAAGCCTAAAAAGCTTAATCTCAGAAATGGGTTTTCATGAAAAGTCGCCTGAATATCAAGCCTGCGTCAAAATGTTAGATGCAATACGCCCGAAAGACAGGACAGATACTACAGAGCCCGATAAAAACCTCGGATATAGATATATGATTCGTAACAAACATACAAAATGTGGAGGAAAGAAGAGAAGATTCAGAGGAACATCAGGAAAAGCAGAATAAGGAAGACCAAGCAACCGAGGCAGAATCCCAAATAACAGTAACGAAAAAAATAAAAAAAAAGACAAAATTTCAGTTCCGTCTTGAGGGGACGTATAAACTCCGGTCCTAAGGGGACCTAAAATTCTAATTTTTGTTTATACTATTTGATGTTTTTCTTTTCGCGAGGGGAAATATCATCCGGTCGGATTGGCAAAGTACTATATATACATATTATATCGTTAATCTCACTGTGTTGAGCTGGTCAATTGACCTTGAAGGTGGTTCTAACGAAGAGTTTAGGTTATACTGTTAGATCATGAATAAAGAGTTTACGATCCAGATGTCTTTTTTATGCTCTCCGACATAATCTTTATTAGTTCACCAATCTGTTTGGATTCGATATTAACATTGGGCATATCTCAGGGTATGACAATAGGTTTGAAAAAAATGTTGAAGGAAAAAAATTTTCTAACTTTTCGCCTGATTTTCAACCAATTTGTTTTTAAATTAGCCTCAAAGTGCAGTCAGAACAATCATGGCTTCGTTGTGAGATGTGAGCAGCCTTTTTGGTGTTTTAGTGCCGCGGAGCGTTCAAAACAACTTTAATGGAAATTTGAAATTGTCAGAAAAAACTCGAATCATGTCAGAAAAAATATTTCAGAATGATCAAAAAGCAAAATAGTCAGGCCAGCAAAAACTCTAGAGATGATTAAAATTGAATTGAGTTCTGATATACATATTTCAATTATTTTAAGTGAGCCTCCCTAAATCGCAAGCTCCCTATCAACAGTTATTTAAACCAACGGGAACTATGTTTAAAGCCGAATTTTACACACAGAAGAAGTTCAGCGCCGAATCAGTGTGAACTTCTTTTTTAGCATAGACGACTCGGACTCTGATGAGTACCACTTTAACCCTGTTCAGTATTGATTCAGTGCTGATTGAGTTCTGTAAATACAACTAAAATCAGCGTTGAATCAGTCTATGATTTTAAGCGTTCCTTCAATGTCATTTTGAGTTAAAAGCTTTCACACAAAAATGTCAAACTATTGCTTTAAGCAGCAACCTCGTCGAACAAATTATTTATCTAAAGCCATTGCCCGGGTTGAGGTGTTCGACTCATGATTCGACCGACACGGTCGAACGGAGTCCGATTTTCATCGCAAATTAAGACGGTCGAACGAACACTATAGTCGAACAAAGTCGAATCATGGGTCGAACCTGGTCAAATCATGAGTCGAACAGGGTCGAATCATGAGTCAAACAGGGTCGAATCATGAGTCGACAGGGTCGAATTATGAGTCGAACAGTGTCGAATCATGAGTCGAACAGGGTCGAATCATGAGTCGAACAGGGTCGAATCATGAGTCGAACAGGGTCGAATCATGAGTCGAACAGGGTCGAATCATGAGTTGAACAGGGTCGAATCATGAGTCGAACAGGGTCAAATCATGAGTCAAACAGGGTCGAATCATGAGTCGAACAGGAACGAATCATGAGTCGAACCGGGTCGAATCATGAGTCGAAGAGGGTCGAATCATGAGTCGTACAGGGTCGAATCATGAGTCGAACAGGATCGAATCATGAGTCGAACAGGGTCGAATCATGAGTCAAACCGGGTCGCAACATAAATTTGGGTCGCGCAAAGTCGCAACATGGGTCGCGCAAAGCGGAAGTAATGAAATTTTTTTCGGATTTTTTTTGCTTGCATAAGCGTTATACAGATGCAGTTCGCAAAATCATCCAAAATAAATTTATTTTTAATGTGCAGTTAGCTGGATCAAAAAATTTCCTGATCATATACAGGACCGCCACGAGAAGGTCTACACCTGGTCCCAACGTTAAATATAAGCAAAACATAGCAAAACATAGCAATATAAGCAAGTCGGTCAAAACATAGCAAAATTGGGTCGAGTCAGTCAAAACATAGCCATTTTTAAACGAACCGGTCGAAACATAGCCATTTTGGTCTGGTTCATTGAAACATAAGTCATACAATTCAACT